AGAGTGTACACGCCAAGTTAATGGGCTAAGATATGACAATCGGTACTGTTATCGCTACGTTTCACCTAACACCTATACCATCTCATATTATTATGCTGCTGCTGGTCATTGCATCAATACCTCAGTCTGTCAAAATGGACAGATACAATTACTTGATACTAATGCTGTATTGCTGTGTGTAAATGGAGAGTGGCATGCATTATGTAGTACAGCATGGTCCTCTACTCAAGCACAAGTTGTATGTAGACAATTAGGAAAGGATACAAAAGGTAAGATACTCATTAATGTTGATAATGCATTCAAACATTATTGTAGGAGCTATGGCAGTGAATGTTTCAGTAGCTACTGATACTATGTCAGTAATACCAATACCAGTTAACTTTGACTGTCTTGGAAATGAAATGTTTTTATATAATTGTTCAGATAGTGGCTCAATTTCTTGTGATGATGCATCTTCTCAAACTACAGTTGTTGCTGGTGCTATATGTGAAGGTAAAGTTTGACTGTATTATCATTTGGTAGTAGCTATTCTATTTATAGATTTGCCTGGTCCTCCTTCAAATCTTACTGTCAATAGCCAACAGTCAGATATTACATTACATTGGGAATACACTGATGATGCTAATAATGTGTCTAATTTTAGTGTTTACTGTAAACATGACAAGACTGTTAATCCTCAACTGCACTTGAATATCAAAACTGAGCTAAGCTTGCTGACAAAGAACAACAGTGCAACACTGATTGGTTTATTAGCCAATACTGTGTACACATGCTGTGTGTCTGCTGTATTCCCTTATATGGAGACTGAATCAACATGCATTAATGTAATAAAAGGTCAGTTCTGTAATTTTAATTTAAAATATTTCATATTTGCAGGGTATCAAGAAGCTGGTTCTAGCAATTCTTCTACATTATCATCTATTCCTGCTGGTAACTTAAAGAGCATAAAATTAATGGTCTCATTATTGTGTATTTTATTGCAGCTACTGCAACTGTAGCATCATCATCATCAATTCATTGGTATCATCATCAGTGCAGTGTTTGTTATCTTATTATTGATTATCAAAATTGTCATTACAAGAAGAAGTAAAGACAAACAATTTAAACCCAACAAAAGGTACAATCAAATACTTTATTTCATATTATGGTATTACTAATAAAGGTCATCATTACAAAGTGATAATGTAAATGTCACATCCACTGTTTATCATCAGTCAAGAGGTCAGACTCAGAATATTGGGATTTATTCTGATCTGTCACAAAATCAATTTGAGCCATTTTCCAATAGGAGGGATCCTGCAGTTCCTGGTGCTAATGATTATGAGAGTCCTGTTGATGTGAATATAATAACTGTTAATAATGATCCAGTTTATTCACTGGCTGAAACTGAGGAAGAAACTGGTAACTATGACAAGTTACAAAGGAATTAACTTCGTCATGAAAATATCAATAATCATTTTATATTTCATCAACTATTTTATAATTTTGTTGCTATTATAATGCATAGCTAATACAAATGGTATAAATTAAGTTTGTGTTGCACCCATGAAAGTTCTTGGTCTGGTTACAAATTAACAGATAGTGAATGCACATAGACATAGATCTATAAGCATTATAATGTAAAAATTGTGCTACAACATGTACCTTTATGCAATATAATGTACTGGAGGTGCTTTTGGTACATAATAACACAACACAATACAACATGTAATGGAGACCCATTCAATTTCAGTACTTTAATAAAGACTGTTTCTGATATACATGTACACAAAAGCTCCAAGTACATGTACCTGCTTCTGTGAACATAAACATACATGTACATGTATGTACAAACAACATGTATTGTTTTATACATTAATGATGATCAATGATACATTTATG